CCCCCCCCCCTCTCTCTCTCTCTCTCTCTCTCTCTCTCTCTCTCTCTCCATGATCCTTTTGCTCACCACCCGTTCGCCCGCTGGTTTGCTGTTCCGCCCGCCAACAGTCAGAAAAAATAAGAATGGATGTTTCGCTAGAGCACGGGTAGGTGCACTCGCCGTTTGTCTCCTCCACCCACTCAGCCTCTGCAGGTCATAGCGGTCGAACCGCTGCACTAATTCAAGATCTGTCGCGTTCAAATGCTCGGCATCACCTCAAAACCCCCACGCCACTTCTTTCCTCACTCGATTCTTTAAAGGAACGAGCGAGATACCCGTTTTTAAAAAAACTTCCGCTTTCGTTGTCCTCCCCGTTACCACCGCGCAGCCTCACTTTCTACTAACTTCTCTTCTACTCACCTTATGCCCAAAATGACACCGCCAATCGATACGGAATGGTCGAAAACCCCTATCCCATACTTTAGTTCACTCGATTCTACAGAGAATCAAGTGGAATATTAATTCTCACTCCCGCCATAACTCTTTACTCCATTTTTTTTCTCGCACGTCTCTTTCTTCCTAGCTTCTATAACATTAACTTCTAACTAAAACTAATCTCAAATTTGGATTCGCCCATCCTAAAACCCCTAACCACCACTCCACTTCACTTGATTCCATCAGGGATCGAGTGAGCTAATCATTCTCCATCCCGTCATGCTCGCTTCTCCGTCGCATTCTTCGAATGCATGTGGCGCGAAATTGCGCCGGATCCATTCCCTCTCCCTGTGTTGCCTTTGCCTCGTCTTTCTTGGTTGCCAGCCGTGATCTTCTGTCCTTGGATCAGGTACCCCCCTTCTCCCTTTCTGCTCTTTCTCCCTCCCTACTCCGAAATCCTTTTTTTCCTTTCCGCCTTCTTTTTCCTTACTCTCTTCGACGCAGCTCTGTTTTACAACGCACGGTCATGCCGCGGTGCGCTAACTGCCTTACAGCTCTAGCTACTCTGCCTGGCTGCCTAGCTTCACCCCCCTCGTCGCTGCTCTGCCTCACCTGCAGCATTCCGCTCTGTCTTACTCTTCTTGAGCCAACTCTGACATCACCGCTGCGCTATCTTCTTCAGCGCCTTCCCCTCCTATTGTTTGTCGCTCCCCTGCGCTATTGCTCCGCCCTTCCCTGCTGAACCATGCGCTATCCTCGACACCGCAGAGCGTGCTAGCTGAATGAAGCAAAACAGCAGGCCGACAATCATGTAGCAACCCACCTACGAAATCTATCAGGTCCGGAGATAAACGACGTTGAAGCTTGCGCCCAGTGCCTCGGCTGTGACGACTTCGGCCCCTGTCGAACTAGTGGATGCAGGTCCGCTAAGCCTTGTAGCTTGCCGCGGAACAATCGTCGCTCCTCCTGATATTGGTCAAAATGCGAATGTACCTCCCTCCAAAAAGTGGTCCGGTACATTCGCTATTAGACATTGGCTCAGTGGTGAGCCGCGGGATTTTTCAGATGAGGACCTCGAAGCGAGCCAGCTATGTGCGGGCTCGATTAACTTTCTCCCATATACCCTGTGTGAGGAGTGATGTGCACGACAGATATCGCAACTGAAATAGCATGCCGCACAATCAAGACTGCGGCAGTATCCCATGGGCGCCCGCTCGGAATGTTCTCCAGTTCCCTTCCACTTCTAGACCACCGACACTCTCAAAACGGGAAACAAAGGCAGCCACGACCACGGACTCCACCGCTCCCGCATCCGTTGACCTCTCCAATCCATATTTCAACGTGGGTAGGGTGGAGGACTTTTCGTCGGCACCCTATGCTTGATGACGCTGCAACTGAGCCAGGCCAGTCGGTCCCAGTGTCGGCCTCGGAACCGATCACCGAATCAAAGGTACTTAGCAAAATTCTTAAATAGGATAAATAAATAATAAAAATAAGAGTAAAACGCAAAAACACGAAAAAGGTAAGGCGACGAAGGGCCGTGCGTCTTGCTGGCTCATGACGTCGCGCACACCCAGGCTGCGCATGATTGCACCTCCCCGTCAACATCCAGCGCACGCCACTCACTCGGGTACCTCCCGCTCGCGCGTCGTCAAGCGGACGAAGCCGCACTCGTGCGACTTGTAGAAAACACGCCAAATACCCTTGTAAGGGTATTTGGTATGACAACGTGCGCACCCTGTCTCTTATACACATCTAGATGTGTATAAGAGACAGGACCATAACAGCGCGCGCGCGCGCGCGCGCGCGTGAGAGAGAGAGAGAGAGAGAGAGAGAGAGAGAGAGAGAGAGAGAGAGAGAGCTGGTTAAGCTGCTCCTTGCGCTGCCTTTGCCGCACCCCCTGCCAGCCCTGCTGCGCCTGCTCCACGTCTGCTCCTTGCCTGCTATGGCCGCCTCGTTGCCCTGCTTCTTTATCCCTCTGACGATGGCGGTAGTAGTGGGCATGCAAGCTTGAACGTTGTTGTGGCACAGGGGGCAGCCAAACTTGCAAGGCGGGAGGATGAATTCAAAGACTTCGCCCACTACGGGGCCGCCACGATGTAAGGACGACATTCAAACGGGCAGAAAACATAGACGGAAGAAAATTTTCCACAAGCAAAAGAAAAAAATTATGGCCCTACCGGATGCCCTTTCAGGGCCAAAAAAAATCTGCACGTATTTTTTGTTGGCGGCCCTGGGCGGGACGAAACGCCCTGGACCGCCAAAAAAAGTTTTTGGCCTTTGGCCAAAGGGTCAGGTATTCGGACCAGGATCCGGACACGTTCACCGGATACTGGACGGTCCGGATCCTTGTTCAGAGGTTCGGATCGCTGCCATGTTACACACCTCTCCGCTGCGACCTCGACCCCTCTCCCTGCGAGCACGTGCGCTCGACTGATTCGCCTCCCCCCTGCCCGATCCCGATTTCCCTCCCCTTCCTCGACCTTTCCCCTACTCCCGATTTCTCTCCCAACCCCGACCCCAACTTTCCCCCGCTGCTCCACGATCCTGATTCCACCCCCCCCCGTCCCCCAAATCCCAACCAACTTCTCTTTGCGCACCTCCTTCCCCTTTGTCGACCCCGATCTCGGCTTTGCCCACTTCCCATTCCAACCCCGTCCGCTCCACTCCTTCCTTCCTCCGCCTGTGCGCGTCCCGCCACGCTCTCCCCCAGCCCGCTTCGCCCAACTCCCCAACCCCGCCCCGTACGGCTTCCCCGCTCTTCCCCCCACCTCGTGATCACCTCTACGTTCCCCCCCCACATCACACGATCTTCCCATCTCAATGCGCCCCACCGCCCTATCACCCGATCCCGATCCCCTAATCCCGATCCCCTGATCCCGATCCCTTGATCCCGACTTTCCCGCCATCCCCTCCCGACCTTCTCTCCCCGATCCCGCCTTCCCACACCTTCTCCTCTTGCCCACCTATCTCCTTTCCCCCCCGCCTGATCCCAACTCCACCCAATACTTCCCTTCCGACCCCCGACCTCCATCCCGACCGATCGTGCTTCCCCTCGCAATCCACCCCCCTCCCTCTTCCCACGCTCCTCCCCCGATTACCCCACGCCCGCACGCACGTGCGCACCCGGGCTTGGCTGGAGCGGCACATCTGCTAGAAGATAACGCAGCGTCCTCAGATGAGCTCAACGCGAACAAAAATCTCGTGAGGAGCACAAGGACAAAAACTCATTTGATTTTGATTTCCAGTTCGAATACAAACTGTGAGAGCTTCGCCTATCAATCCTTTAGCATTTCGGGACTTCAAGCTAGAGGGGTCAGAAAAGTTACCACACCGATAATTGGTTCGTGGCGGCCATCATCATCATCAGCAGCAGCATCATCATCGTCCTCGTCATTGCCGCCATTGCTGACGTCATCATTGCATTGGCTCGTCATCATCAGTGCACGCATTCGATCCGGCGACCTCGTCGTTCCACCGGGGAACGAGCGAAAAGACCCCTTAGGGGTTGATTGAAGACCTTCCTCGACTAGGAGGAAGGACCTTGATTGCTCCCGGCCGACCGGGAGCGCGGTATGGTCAATCTCTCTACCTCTTACTGATTCCCTCCCTTCCTCCCATCGATTTCTCTCAAAGATCTCATATTTTTCCTCTTCTTTTATCTCCTCCCCATCTCCCCATCTCTCCTCTAACCCCCCGCCTAATCGGTCGCATCATCCAAAATTCCTAATGTGCATGACGCATATCCTCTCTTTCAGGGTTTGTTTGACAATGATGTCCATCCTGTCGTGCGGAATTTTGATCTAATTCAATCGGATTAATCTTCATTTCCTTCCCTCCTAATGCCGTGATCCGAATTAATTCCGGCGTTTTTGTTCAAAAGTTACGTGAAATTCTTTAATATACCAAATCCTTTTCTTAATTCAATTTAAAATTTGACTTTATTTCAGAAATTCGTGAGATAAATTTCGAAATTTACTAAATTCAATTCTTTGGATATTGAACTTCCTTCTATTTTCTATCCCCCGTAAAATTCCGAAATTCTACAATTCTTTCTGAAATTCCTTTGAAATTCTTTTGAATTTTTTTTGAAATTCATCTTAATCTTGTAACAAGTCGAGAAATTTTGTTGATTTGATCTACATAATCCTGGAATTTCTCTCAATCTACTTTACGTGGCTGTCACTAATTCTTTATGAAATTTGGTCATAAGTTCTTAATTTAGGAATTAGTTTTCTACTTTTATTTCAAATTCCCTTTGAAATTCTTTTAATTCCTGAAATACGTCAAGAAATTTTTCATTTTACTTCCAAAATTTTCCTCTCAACTCATCTCTACCTCTTCTATCATCCCCTTGAACTTTTGGAAATTCTTACGAATATTTTTGAAATTTGTTGAATTTTGCTTCAATTTCCTTAAGAATTCCGAATTTATGCCCAAACAATTTCAAAATTTTATTTTGACCTCGTGATTGTCTTATACATACCTTCTTCCATACCCCACGCCATCCTTTGGAAATTTCCTCTCATTCCCCCGCCCGAATTGGAAATTTTACTTTTCCTCCCTCAATCCGATTCTCAATTTTTTGATTTAATCTCAGAAGTTTGTTAGACCTCATCTCTACTCGCCTTCCTCTCACAGTCCCTTACTCCCCTTTCTGCATGGCACCCTGGTTCCCCGTGACATCCAACAGTGCGCACTCCAAAATCGCACTCGAGACGCTCGTGCCGCCAATCGACTCGCTCGCTTTGACGCACCGACCGCGGCCACAGATCGTCCCTCTCGTCATGGTCCTCCCTTGACATCATCTTCATCTTCTTCATCTGTTGACTCCATGCAGATTGCAGAGTCGGTGAGCCCCTCCCACTCCATCAGTGAAGGGCTTGCGCTACTAGCTCGTGATACAACGGCTGATTCACCTCACATATCCACCCCTATGGCCACCAGTTCGGGTCCAGCCGCCCAATCGGATTGCTTATTGGCTCTCCTCGAGAGCATGCAGGCCAGATTCGAGGCCAGACTCGAGGCCAAATTCACGGCCCTCCATACCGACTTTTCATCCCTGTCGGCCCCCGTGTCACAGGTGGAGCCCCGTACCAGTGCACCTCCCTCCCCACCACCCTCATCTGCATCTATGCTAGCTTCCTCTCCTTCTTCGGCTAGCGTCATCTACACGCTTGTCTCTTCTACGGGTTGCATGTCCTCACCCCAGTCCCGCCCTTCCTCTGCAGCCATCTCTTCCTCCCAGGTTTCCGCCCCTGCACCTCCCCCCTCAGGACCCATGGCATCTTGTCCCACCACCTCCTCGACGTTCGTTTCCACGGCACCTCCTTCATCACCCCCC